TAATTTTTGACTTACCCTTGTATATGTTTTCACTGGAGCTTTCTCAGTGTGAACTCACCCTTACCAGAGCTGTGTGTCACCTATGTGTCACCAAAGTAGAGTTTTCAGTGAGCTAAGTACACTTAAAGAGAAACTATATCCTATTCCTTATACTCAGTTTCTTTATAAAAAAAACAGCTGTGATATGATGAATTTTATATCTTAATAAGTCTGAGCCTCTAACAGATTTAGGCATCCAAATTAAAAATGTCAACTCACAGTGACCTTACAAGATTGAGTAGAATGAAGGATTTCCGAGGCTGTAAATCTATACAGCGTGGCTTTCATCTCCTCTCTCTTCCTTGTGGGGCAGTTGTTCTTTTCATGTAGATTTTAGTGACCTCTCAGAAACAAATGGAGCTAAGTCTGTGCCCCAGTGTGGGGCCGAGGCCTTTGCAGACCTATTTTCTGGTCAGAGAGAATCCCATGGGGAAATTTGAACTCTGCCATGGGCTCCTGTTGTTCCTAGGCCCAGGGCTCATCTCTGGGTTTCTGGGCATAGATTTCTGGCAAGAAACTAGAAAACAAAGCAGAATTGCTTAGGGAGATAAAAATGGTTGTTTCAGGGCAAAGAGGCAAAGCACCCTGGGCTTAAAGGCAGGCAGGAGGATGCGATGGTTAAGATGAAACAGGCTTTGGAACAGCTCAGGGTTTTAGAAGGTGGGTTGTGGGAGATCTAGGACCCTTCCTTGGCTGAGAGATGTGAGGCCGGTTGTCTCATATGTTGGTGGGATGGAGGCTGGTGGGACAGAGAATGAGGCCGACTTTGGGGAAATCAAGGCATCAGCTGGAATGAGGCTGCTTGCTTCTTCCCTGCCTGGCCATGGTTCTTCTGGGGGAATGTTCCTAGGGGAAGCAGGACTAGAATACTGTGCTCCTACTGATTCTGGGTCACATTTCACCAAGCAGCCAGCTAGCCAGCCACTGTACGTCATCCAGGGGAGGGTGAGGGCGAGGGCTCTGTCCAAGGTGGCCTTGAGAAGCTGGCTCAGAGCTTCCTTCCTTTTGAGCATCCAGCCTTCAGGGAAGCCAGTACTCCTGCCCTGAGACATGTGTCAAAGATGGCCCAGGTCCTTGTCCCATGCCTTCCCTGGGCTCTGGCTTTGGGGCTAAGGAGAGCTCAGAAGTACACCAGGTGCTCAGCAGGACTTGGGACAAGTTGGACCAGAAGGAGACTGTCAAGTCGGTTTCGGCTCATAGTGACACTGTATAGGATTTCCAAGGAGTGGCTGGTGAGTTTGATCCACCAACCTTGCTGTTCAAACTGACCTTGCAGTCTAGTGCTTTATCCCACAGCGCCATACCAGGAGGGAGACTAGTAAGTCCTTATTTCAGGGGCCCTGAAGGAGCTGTGCTTGTGGAGGTGGAAGTGGTGGTGGGGGTGGTGGTGTGCTGTGGAGTCAGAGCCGACTCCACGCACATAACAACAACAACGCAGGGTTTCCAAGGCTGTAAATCTTTATTGGAGCAGAGAGCCTCATCTTTCTCCCGCAGAACAGCTGATACCTTCGAACCACTAACCTTGCGGTTCGCAGCCCAATTCGTAACCACTATGCTACCAGAGCTACGGGTTTAGTCTAGACACAAGAGCACTCCCTCTGGATGAGGAAAGTTAGGAGCAAGTTTATATGAACCTCCCTGTGAGCTTTACCCTTTCTGATTATACACTGAAGAGACTTGAAAATTAAGTTCAAATCAAGGTATATATATACACCTTGATTGTCATGAACTTCATTCTGCTTGTATCAAGCATCAATACTCATGGAACCAGCAGTCAAGAAGTCAAACAACATATTGCATTGGGTAAATCTGCTGCACAAGACTTTTTTAAGTGTTGAAGAGCAAAGATGTCAGCTTGAGGACTAAGGTGCGCCTGACCCACGCC